GGACAGAAAAGACAAAAAGATTCCAAAATTAGCCAGAAAAAAAGAACAGATCATTCATAAAAATACAATCAGCAATGATGAAAGCCAGAATGAATGCCATATTTTCAAAGTGTTGGTCTTGTATTGTAAATTCAACCTCTTTTTTAAGAATGAAAGTGATACAAAAACATTTTCGAATAAACAAAAATACAGAATTACTAGGAGACCTCTATTAAAAGAACTTCTAAAGATTTACTTCAGGAAGAAGGATCATAGAATAATGGTCTGAGATATAAGAAGGAATGGTAAGTTAAGTAGCAAACGTATATGTATACAGTTGACCTTGAACAACACAGGGGTTGGGGCACATACCCCTCATGCAGAAAATCCATGTATAGAGGCTCCTGGGTGGGTCAGTCGGTTAAGCATCTGCCTTTGGCTCAGGTCATGATCCCAGGATTTTGGGATCCAGCCCAGTGTTGGGCTCCCTGCTGAGCAGGGAGCCTACTTCTCCCTCTCCTCCCTGCTTGTGCTCTCTCTCTCAAATAAATAAAATCTTAAAAAAAAAAAAAGAAAATCCATGTATAACTTTTGACTCCCCAAAACTTAACTACTATAGCCTACTATTGACTGGAATCATTACTGATATAAATAGTTGATTAACATATATTTTTAGTTTTATGTATTATAAACTGCAATCTTGGGGCAAACTAAGCTAAATGTCAAAGTAAGAAAATGTCAAATCATAAGGAAGAGAGTACTGTACTGTAAAAAATCCATGTATAAGTGGACCCATGCAGTTCAAATTCATGTTTTTCAAGGGTCAACTGTGAATACATATGTATAAACAAACATCTGTGTGAAATAGTAGCCTGAGGAGGAGTGACCAGATTTAAAATGTTCTAAGGTCCTTGGATTGTCTGGAGGTAGGGTTTAAGATATTATTTAACTTAAAGCTCTGTTCTATTAAATATGCATGGTAAAATTTTGAGGATAACACTAGAGGAATAGAAATTAAACATATAAATTGAATGAAAAATTAAAATATTGCCTATTAGACAAAAAGCCAAATTCCAGCATTTATAAGAGACATCTAAAATTTAATTACAGGTAAGGGGGGTGGAGGGGGAAGAAGGAGAAAGAGGAGGAGGGGACAAGGAAGTGGGAAGGAGAGAGAAAAGATCAGATAAATATCAATAAAAAGAAAGCTAGGATAGTTACCTTACTATTTGACAAAAATAACATTTTTTAAAAGATTTATTTGAGAGAGCGAGCAAGCATGGGAAGGGGCAGAGGGAGAGGGAGAGAGAGAATCTTAAGCAGACTTCCCGCTGAGCACAGAGCCCCCACGTGGGGCTCTATCCCAGGACCCTGAGATCATGACCTGAGCCAAAATCAAGAGTTGGCCGCTTAACTGACTGAGCCACCAAGGGGCCCTTTGACAAAATAAATTTTAAGACAAAACACATTATTGGCAATAAAGAGGGCCGCTACTTAACATAAAGGTTAAATATATCAGGAAGAAAATACAACAATTTTAACTTGTATGCATCCAATTAAATAACCTCAAGCTATAAAAAGCAAAAATGCATTGAATTTCAGGATAAAATGGACAAATCCAGAATTGTAGGTACTCCATGTTCTTTACTATAAAAATCATAAATAAAACAATGAGTGAATACATTCAAAAGACAACATTTGAATTGCTTGTGTGATTTTTCTCCATTTTTCTAAATTTTATTGTTTTGATAATTACTTTTACAATTAAAACACTTTTTCCAAAAAATAAATATGGAGGTGAAATTTTAGTTAATTGAGGGTTTGGGGTGGGCTTAGTTAATTGTCATTTTACTATATTTGGGGTAATTATGTAGTTTTAGTCTATACTAATGTTTGACAGGGTGAATACATTATAACACAACTTAACTCCTTTTTCTTTGTATTTTTACTAAAATGTCAAATGATTTACTCATGGACTTAAAGAGCTCAGACATTCCTTGACTGATACATTAAAGAATCTGATTTACCACATAGTTTCTGTTTTCCTAAATAAGAATTTTGGAAAGAATGCATAATAACTCACTCCTAATTTAAATATGCCACCACTGATTGTTAAAGGCTGTATCATTCTGGATATCTGTATCAACAGAGCTATGATTTTTCTCTACTTCTGCCCAGACTTTGGTATTATCGCTGTAGGGATCAGTTACCCTGAAAAAACAAAACAAAACACACACACACACACACACAAACCTAGAGAAAGATACAAATTGTTAATTCTTTTTTTCATATTGATACTTCTTTGGACTTAACGCATTGCTATTCCTAAAACTCAGTGTTTAGCCTCTATTTATGTCTTTTGAAATGTGTGTGGTATGAAAGTTATATGAAATAGTAACAGATCCTTGTATACAAATAGAAAGTAAGACAGCATGCTAGGAAGCTGGTTCTAAAGAAAATAGGCACAGGATTATTTTATAATAGTACAGATCTTGCTCAGTTTACAATGGGATTACACCCTGATAAACCCCATTGTAAACTGAAAATATCCTAAGCGGACAGTGCATTTAATATACCTAACTTAGAAACGTCATAGCTTAGCCTCGCTACCTCAAACGTGGTCAGAACACTTGCATTAGCCTACAGTTGGGCAAAAGCATCTAACACAAAGCCTATTTTATAATGAAGTGTGGAATACCTCATGTAGTTTATTGAATACTGAAAGTGAAAAATAGAATGGTTGTATCAGTTGTTTACTCTTGTGATTGTGGGGCTGACTGGGAGCTGACTGCTGACTGGCTGCCCAGCATCACCAGTATCACACTGCATACCACTAACCAGGGAAAAGATCAAAATTTAAAATCTGAAGTACAGTTTCTACTGAATGCCTATGGCTTTTACATCATGGAAAAGTTGGAAAATAATAAATTGAACCCTAGTAGGTAGGGGACTGTCTGTACTAAAAAGCAGACAGTAAATAGATTCCTTTGAAAATATTATCTAAAAATCTAAACAGTAAAGCCTCATTTAATCTATTACACAAAATATGTTTTTCATAGTTTAAATTTTACTGGATGCTATTCTGGGAAAGTAATAACAATATGTTGAAAAAGTAAAATGCTAATGTTGAAGTGTATCAAATTTGAAAAATATGGAAAAATGTTAGAAATTCTAAATTCTTCAGAACGTATTACCCAATAGATATGTTTGAGAATCTTTTTAGAACCTTTCGGAATTTGAATATCCAGAATATTCAGTTGGTCTAATCCTTTTGCTGTTTAAAGACAACAAAAGAATAAAAATGGATGCAGTTATTTCCAACTCTTTGCAATAATAGTCTGGAAATGAAATCTCAAAAACTCAGAGTAGATTAATAAATAACATTCAATTGCAATGTTATTTGCAATTATTTGCAAAATAATTATTTAAATTATTTTATCTTTATTTTCTCTCATCTTTCCTGTTTAAATTTATTAAATTATAACATGCATACTAAAAGCACAAATCATAACTGTACAGCTTGATGAATTCTCACAAAGTGACCATATTCAGTGCTATCAATACACTGTATTATTAACTTTTAAGGTGATAAACTGCTAAGATTGAAGGATTAAAACCATCAAAAACCACTACAAAGAGGTAAAGTAATAAACCAATAAGTGTAACTAGATCAGGTGGGAGGCACACCTGCAAAAATGAAACAATTTTTGGCACACATTTTATACCACATAGGTATTCTGTATCATCAGAACATGAGAAAACACATTGTCTCAATCTGATAGGTTCCTGACTTGGGGGTTCTCCTACTGTGCTTTCCTCCCCTCCCTTGCAGAAGCTGATTTCAGCAGAAAAAAATATAAAAGCAAACAGCAGAAAAAATAAAAACTTCAGAGCCAATTAAATTGCTTAACATTTTTGTCTTTTCATGAGCTACAGCTGTGTCACAAATCGTGACCTTACGCGATAACTTTAAATTTGAAATTAACTTTTCAACGTTTTAAATGAGCTTTCTTCCTTTCCTTGATTGGCAGATCATTTTTGTTCACCTAAAATTAAAACTGTTGTAGGTCGTCTCCTAATTCCTTGTCTAGTCAAAGCACCCAGAGGTTACTAAAGAGATGAGAGAATCACAGGGACTCCACCCTGTAAATACAAGCCATTTTCAGACCTGGGTCCTGCAATTATTTTACCTTTGAATAGCAAAAATAATTACTATACTATATTCATCCGGGGAACCCTTTCTTAGGTCTTGCACTCTGTATTTTCAGCGATTTCTTTGACCCGCCAGTAACTTTCCCAGTTAGCCAACAAATAGTTTACGTAGGTCGCTATTGGTTTTGTTCGGAATTTAAGAGCAATTTAGCCACAGGTGATTAGCGATCTTAAGGGGGTTCTTACTGTCAAAGAATCCAGAGAATGCGAGGCCCTGGTACCCAAATGAGGCAACAATGAAAGACCGGCAAAGCTCAGAAATGCTCCTGAGAGCCCCAAACGCCAGCTCAGATTTCAGGTTGCCGGGACGCGCCCCCTCGGCTGCCTGTACCGCCAAAGGGCGGGGGGCTCCAGGGAAGAAGGTGCCATTGAGGACGCCCGCGATGAGCGTGGGCGACCTTGCCACTGCCACCCCCACCACAAACAGGAGTAAACGCTCCACATCCCGTCACCAGGGCAACTCGGCAAGCCACCACCAAGGCTCAAGATTCCGCACCCCCAGCCGCCGGACGCAGAAAAGAGGCGCATCACGACCGGGCCGCGGGCACTGGAGGCGTCTCAGACACCCCCGTCCCTGGGGTGCCGAACGCGACGGAGGAAGCGCCCCCGGCGGGCCTCGGGCAGCCGCCCCCAGCGACCCCACCGCACCCGGACCTCTCTGGCGCACGTGGCGGCCGTGATTGTCCCAGCGCGGTATCCCTCCGCGCCCCCGCCTCAGTCTCCCCCTCCCTGCCCGGGACCCTTCGAGTCGGGGCGCCGCGGAAGGATCGCACGCACGAGCGCGCGCACGCCCGCCCCGCCGTGGCCGCGGAGAACTGAAAGGGGCCGCGGTGAGGAGCAGCCGCCGATAGCGCCGTCGCCGCCAACACAGCCGTTCGCAGCCTCCCGCTGGTGGTTAGCCCCGCGGCTGCGGGCGGGCGGGCAGGCAGGCAGGCGGGCGACCTCGGCGGCTTGTCCCTCATCGCCGTCCCCGCGTCCTCCCGCCGCAGCTCCTCGGGGAGGGGGGCGGTCGGTGCCTGCGCAGAGCCGCCTCCTCCCCGCCCCCGCCCCGCCTCCCCCCGCGCCGCCGCCGCCCGCCGCCGCCGCCGCCGCCGCCGCCGCGCCTGCTGCTCCTCGCCGTCCCCGCTGCAGTGCGAAGGGCTCGAAGATGGCCGGTTGGCAGAGCTACGTGGATAACCTGATGTGCGATGGCTGCTGCCAGGAGGCCGCCATTGTCGGCTATTGCGACGCCAAATACGTCTGGGCAGCCACGGCCGGGGGCGTCTTCCAGAGCATTACGGTGAGGACCGGCGGCGGTCTGGGTTCCCGTTCCCGTCCGCGGACCCGAGCGGGGCCGGCCGGCTGTGGGGGCACGGAGGGCCGCGCGGGCAGGTGTGGTAGGCGGCCGGCGCCGAGGATGCGGCTGGGGGGCTGGCGGGGAGGCCGAGGCTCGGGGACGCCCCCTTGCCCGGGGCTGCGCTGACCCGGCGGGGGCGGCGGCCTGGCTCCCTGGCTCCCTGGCTCCCTGGCTCCCTAACTGCCTCGGCGGCCCCCGGCGTTTCCAGTGTCAGTCCGTGAGGCGGGGGGAGGGGGCGCACCGGTTGGGGGGGCCGGCTTTTTTTCCCCCTCGTGCGGCTCTCTGTGGTCTTCTGCAAGCCCTAAGGTTTGCTTTGCATGTCCCGGGGTGCAAGCGGGGTTGGAGGGACCGGGCCGGGGCGCGCGTGGCCCGGGCGGGGGTCCTCCGGCGGCCGGGCTGCCCCTCGCTCCGCGGACAGCGCGCCGCCCGCGCCGCGGGCTGTGGGAGGCGGCGGCTGCCCGGCCCCCGGATCCTCGCAGCGACTTTGCGTAGGTTTGCGGGTGTCCAGGCCTTTGGGGCTTGAGAGAAATGTACGCCGACAACGTAGGTAGATTAGTGAATCTCGACTTCAGCTCTGGCTCCGTAGGATTTTTTTTTTTTTTTTTTAATTCTCCAAGATGGCGAACTGCCATTGATTTCTCTCCTCCTATGGAGATTCATCGATATACCGTTATCCCCAATTACGCAACATAGCTCTAAAAAAGGGGGTGCTTTTATGGAGCTTACAATCTGTGAAAACCGAGGGGACACTTTACTTTTCCAAGTCCCTCCCTCTTTAGTGAAGATAGTAAAGGAACTAATGCAGATTTATGCTTTACAGTGCCTGATTTTCTTGTGACCTGCTGGTTTTGACTTGGTTGCCACATGTTTGGGGGATAATTGTTACTAAGCCTCCAGTGCTGCTTTATTGTTTGCCTCTTTCTGCCTCTTTCTTGACGATTGTGTCAAATACAGGGGCATTCCCTTAATTTCTTGGCCCCACGCTCCCCTCCCATCAAACGCCAAAATTCAGGCCCCCTATTATGAGTGCTACTAATTATTCTGTACTACTAAACATGGCTTAAGATCTGTGTAGAACTCAGTCCTTGATACTAGTACTTTAAGGTCTCCTATAACCGCAGTGAACTAGTTATTATAGAGAATTGGCATCTGTCTGGCGATCAACTTTTTTCCTGCAGTCCTCTTGTCTTTGTGTGAGTTCCCGCTGTCTGGCTGGGAAGATTGCGGGAGTGTGCTTGGAAATGGCTGGGGCCTGCTATGACTCTGCAGTTCTGATGGGGGCGACGCCTTCCTTCTTATTCAGGGAATGTTAGAATGCACGTTTTCTCCTTTCCGGTTCTGGTGACTACCTCAGTTTCTTTCCCAGTCTCCATTTTCTCTGGGTTTTTGTTTTGTTTTTTGTTTTGTTTTGTTTTTTACCGTTGTCTACTGCAGTGCCACCAACAGAATCCTCTGCATTTGCCCAGAAAGAAAACTGATTACTGAGGTGGGAGGGGAAGGGAAGTTGGAGAGGAAAAAAAGAGAGTGGCTAGGAAAATAGGAGGGAGATATGAATTTGGGAATGTGTTGAGGTCTAGGGTTTGAAGTTCATATTATGGGGGATATTTCAAGCTATTCAAAGCAGAGTAGAAGTGAACAGGTGTGTTAAGTATAGGCATTTTTTCAGGAGACTTTCAAGCAACTTTAAGTTTGCAGCATAACTGTAATGTGACTCAGGGTGACAGGCAAGCAGTTGTTAGAAGAGTTTATGGGTGGATCTTTACCATTACATAAGCACTTCAGGTACCCCCTGACCTTGAAACAGTTTATAAACTGTTAAATTTGCAGTTTATTTAGTGTGAACTATCAACTACATAGATTCTTTGCATAGACTGGTCTTTAGTTAGTCCACAGTTAACTGTGAAATGAAGTGATACAAAACATGTAGTCATATAAGATTAATTCTTTAGAAAGACTGAAACTTGATTTTACATTAGTGAAATGTGCATGTCTTCTAGTACAATACAAACTTGGCATACAGTTTTTCCACTGATAGGGAGGCATGAAAAGAATTACAACTTAATGCTTTTTCCTTTCTTTTCTTTTCTGTTTTGTTTTGTTTTGGCGGGGGCAGCCAGTAGAAATAGATATGATTGTAGGAAAAGACCGGGAAGGTTTCTTTACCAACGGTTTGACTCTTGGCGCAAAGAAGTGCTCCGTGATCAGAGATAGCCTATATGTCGATGGTGACTGCACAATGGACATCCGGACAAAGAGTCAAGGTGGGGAGCCAACATACAACGTTGCTGTCGGCAGAGCTGGTAGAGGTAAGCAGAGTACTCTTTTGGTTAAAAGTTGCACGCTACATTACAACTTATTAAGCGGTTTCTTTAACATTTTGAATTAAAGTGTTAGTCCATAATGGCTATTAAGGTGGTTTTTGTGAACTGCCCAGCACTGAAGGGAGGCACTGCTTTGCTTTAGATTTACCAACTCTACATCAGCTGCATACACAGCCTAGTCTGTGAGAGCCTGACTTTACTAAAAAACAGATTCACATATTATTCACATATGTTAAATCGTTCATATTGTTTGGTTACTTTAGTCCTTTTGAAAAGTCTTTCACCTTTGCATCTCTTCCCTTTCTTGCATTTTAATTATTCACTGCTCAGCATAAAGAAGGAAAAATGAACATTTGCTCAGTTTTCTGTTAGAAATACTGTTAGGGAAGGGGAAGAGAGAAATAATTAGAATAAGGTTTTGTAGTAAGCCACCTGTTCACTAAAGTATTTTCAAAGACTAAGTGTGCCTGTGAAATTTAGATTTGAAAGTAGGAAATTATATTTCATGTATACACTTGGTCCAGAAGTTTTGGTGTTTCCTGACTGTTGTCAACATTGCAGAAATTCTTACTAACCTAAATAAGTCTCACTACTTTTTTGCAAAAAAACTTCAAGATTGAGGTTTATTATGATATCTAATTGATTTACAAATACATTTAAATGTATTATCCTTTGTAAATATTTTGTAAATTAAGAGGGCTCTGTAGCCTCAGATACCCGGCTTGGCACAGCTGATTTTAAGACCAAATCTACCATGTGAATGAACTTGAAGCTCCTCTGAGCTGTCATTTACTGCAGTGGTTCTGCCAACTCCCTTGTGATTATCCTGGAGGTGACTCTTACTTTGATGTGAGTTGATGCATATGAGTATTTTTCTGTAGGAAAATTAGCTAACTGAAATAGTAGACACATCTCCAAATATTAGCTGAGTTCAGATAAATATGTTCAAAAGAAGTATTAACCCGTGTGACATAAAACTAGAGTAAGATTTTCATGCTATACAGCACTACTGACATCTAGTGGTAGCAAGTATAAAATCAGCCATACATGTGTATTTTGGGGCTAACCTCTGAATTGCATCATAGAAGAACCTGTTGTTGGAAATAGTAATCCTGTTTCAGGATTTCAGACTCACTTAAAAACAAAGCACAGCGAGGATGTCAATTAAGCACAAGCCTTAAGTACTTTTTATTTGGACTTTTCTGAATGGCACTGAAAATGCTCTTTAAAATTTGGTCTTGGTTTTCCTCTGGAATTAATAGACACATTGAGTCTCACTGGTAAGACATAATAGTTTGTACTTAAGCCTGTTAAAGTTGGGGAGAATTTTGTAAATAATCACCTAAGTTTTGTAAGTTTATATTTTGGGGGCCAGTCTAATAATTTGTCATAACTAACCAGTTTTTTGCCCTAGAAGATAAACGATCATACTTCTTTTTTCCTAGCTAGGGTAAAGATATTTTTATGGAGTGCTGCAGCTGCACTGATTGGGCTTCCAGGATGCAGTTTATAGTGTTTTCAGCATATTTCTAGTTTGAAAGTTCTCCTTTTGGAGACCTAGTTGACTTCAGTGCTTGACAGTTCGCGGAAAACTAACTTAATGTTAACTTATTAATCGGGGTTCTGTCTGCTAAAAACTTATGTGACTTTCTTGATTAACACTTCTTTTGAAACACTTTTCTTCTTTCTCTTTCAGTCTTGGTCTTTGTAATGGGAAAAGAAGGGGTCCATGGAGGCGGATTGAATAAGAAGGCATACTCAATGGCAAAATACTTGAGAGACTCTGGGTTCTAGCTGCTAGGCAGACTGTTAAGTATTAGGGGAAAATTGCTCTTAAACTTTCCTAGCTGTAAGCTTGAGTCTTAATTCTGGAAATTTTATTAGCAATGCAGGGTGATGGGGTATGAACCTGTGTCTCCTTTGTATCCCTTTGTTGGTGGGGAAAGGTGTCTTTCTTTCTGCCCTCCCCCCCCTTAAATAATTCTGTTCACTTTTGTTTTGTTTCCCTGTGTACTCCAGCATTGGTTATAGTCATGGGAAAGGAAGGTGTCCACGGAGGCACACTTAACAAGAAAGCATATGAACTCGCTTTATACCTGAGGAGGTCTGATGTGTAAGCAGCCTCTCCCCATCTACCTAGCAACTGTCTTCATCACCACCCCAATTACGGTCACAGTGCTACCAGACTATACATGGTAGCTAATTTTTCTTTACCTATTTTCTAATGTCATGATTCCTGTTTGCCCAATGGATCATTTGTATGTTAACCACTGTATGTAACCAACCCTTATCTGGCAACATAATTGCAGCACAATAATGATTTGCATGATACCTTGAAATTTGGGGGGAGGGGGCATGCCAAGTTGGGCATCACTTTGTCTTAGCAATTAATGGGATATTGATAACTAAAATAAGTTAATATTAAGCAAGGTGCCGGTTGTACAATCTCTAATTTGATCAATGTCTTTCAGCACTTTGAGCATTTACTTAGCTCATTTAGTCTTCCTTTTGTAGCGCATGGTTGGGAGGAAAAAGTGCATGCATCTTTCCTTCACTCCTCTTTTCCCACCCTTTCCCTTTGCATATAGGTATTTGGTTTGCTTCCATCTTTTATGCAGTGCCTGGTTTATTTAACCAAGTAATAATCCCTTTTGTTGATGAGCTATTGAGAGCTGCAGTAGTTTGCTTTCAGTATTGTTGCACTTGAGTAGAGACAGACCTTCTGTCTATAGGATATGTGAAGAGAGCAACTGCAAAACGAAGAGCAAAAGGCACTTCCTCCCATGACCTTACAGTAACCATACAGATCGAATTCCCAGGGACATTCCATCATTGCAGTAGCTCAGATTTGTGTTCCTGTCTCTTTCTTTGCACACCAGCTCTACTCTTTAGTAAAATTGTAAAAGGCTGCCATTATGGACATTAGGTATCCCAACATAACCATCTGGAGTGTGTCCAGTTTGTTCTTCATAGGACCAATTTTTATTTGCAGCTTGAGTTTTTATATGAAGTTGCATTATTGTGGACTTGGCTGTCTTGTGATGAATTTTTTTCATATGTGTTCTGTGCCATACTATTGTTAAAATGAACTGTTGCTATTGTGAGATGGATTTTAACTGACCTATTAAAGGTTTCTTTCGAATGGCACTACTTTAGGGACATTCTAGTATTTGCTTCTATTGTTTGGGCCTTGTGGATAATGTACAGATTTAAAAACAAATCTTGTTGCTGATTTGTCCATTTCTTTCCCTGCACTTTGTTACATCCGGGATACAGTCTAACTCATCTGATTTAATATGCATTTAAAAAAATGCCATAACTATTAAACACCTTGTTTACAGACAGATGAAATAAATTTATTCCAACCAAATACTCTAGACTCCTGTTGTTTATGTAATTGTCTTACTGTTACAGTTGATTTTTGACACATTGGACTATACAGAATAGGCCAGGCTCTGTTGCAAGCATAAAATCTTAAAATTGAGCTCATGGCCTATTCCATATCCTGTAGTATTTATTATAAATAAAATGAGTGCCTGGGAATTTCTTTTTAATGGGCTTTTTCTGTTTTTTAAAAAGGCTTTTAAAAGTCATTTTGGGCTCATCTTTGGTGAGGAAAACTGGAAAACAGTGGAACTGACTTATCCACTAGAAATTATTTTCTCTTGTAGCTGGTCTCTAGCTGTGAAATCTAGTGAGCAATAAGGAGCCCAATACCAAGAAGGGTTTCTGCATTGTAGATTCTTCTGTGTTGAACTATCGTGTGACTTTAGATTTGGAAGCTGTATTGGCATGCTGAAGTCAACCAGCTGGGACTCTCACATAAGAGAAGATGTTCCTTAGGCAGCATGTAAGAAAAGTGGGATATTCCCTGGAGTTTCTCTGGAGTGACCTATTAGCTCTGACTATGTAAGAGTCAAGTTTAATTCCAGAAGTCATAAGGTCTCTGGGATATATTCAATAGTTTAGTAAATGTTAGTTTAATACTCTTTATGAACTGTGAGGCAGAAGCTTAGAGCAGGAGTGCTCAAAAGTTGGTGGGTCTAAGCAAAACTGGGAAGCTGATTGTAATGCAGATTCTGGGCTCTGGATTTTCACCCTAGAAGATGGGATTCCATAAGCTCCTTCAGAAGTCCCTTTAGAAATAATCAGCAGGTCAGTCTGATTCACTTTAAGTGGTCTATATGTTACCCTTTGAGAAACAGTGGGTTAGGGAATGGGAATCTCCACCTTATTAAAATGTACTGTGCATAACAAATTTTTTTGCCAGTGTTGTCAGGCATTAGTTCTGAATTAGTACAGACAGGGATGTAAAAGTATGGAAGATAAGGAATTGGGGGCTACTTTGGTAGTTGGACGTACCTTCGAAATTGAAAAAAAACTTCCAACTTCCTGACCTGTTAAGAACCCAGTTACGAATAAAAGGTTAGTCAAATGAAAATTTGGTGGTTGGGTTGTGATGATTTGAGATTTTACAGTAATAATATACATTCGCACTTCAGCTGTAAAGAACTGTTAGGGTAACTGATTAGAAGGCAGTGACCGAATTTATGAAGCCCTTAAGGAACCTCTAAGTGAAAAGTGTGTGTTTGGGAGTGTGGATAGGGGAGTAGAAGATGGTAGAGGGCAACTATAACACTAGTATTTAATGAAATAATGAAACTAGCTATAGGCCCCCTATCCACAAAAAACACTTAATGAAAATATATGTAGGTAACTGTTTTATACTTAGTTCTAGCAATTTAACCTAAGGAAATGGGGCGAAACACATTTGCATACCAGAATGTGATCATACCACATTACTTAAAATATCTAAACTTGGAACACTACAAGATTCAACTTTGAGGATTATGGGTTGAATGAATTACTGTATGTCCAGAGAATAAATAGTCATTGAATAACATGAGAAAATGCTCACCAGTAAATGTTAAATAATGAGGTAATGAACAGATGTTGCATACAGTATAAATACATAGTGTATAATATATACATGTATTTTACATAGGTATTTCTGAAGGCAAAATACCAAGATAAATTCGTCTCTGGGGTAAGTTTCCATGTGACTACTTTCATATCAGAAAGGTTTTAAATTAGGAAAGTATTTTTTAATGGAGATTAGATTTTAATTTTATTTAATGTCCTATTTAAAAAGCTGTATAGTTACACCATGAAGAAATTATAAAAGATTTCAACCGAATATTAGTGTTTATATATATATATATATATATATGTTGGGATTTTTTTTTTTTTTAATACAACTAAAAGTAACAGTTTGGAGTTTAAAGGGGGGGGGCAGTTTTGCCTCAGAAAAACTCCTCTAATACTTAAATTTAAAGGAACCCAAGACCTTGATCTGATTTATAGATTGAGGACTGAGGAGATACATTTAATACATGTTATAGTGACCTTTAACTTTGCCCTTTAAAAAAAAAAAAAAGGGTTTAGGTATGATGTGTTTAATTATTTACCTTAATTATAAAAGCTATTACTTTGTATTTATGTGGCAGGTACTGAGTGTTCTGTCTTCATACCCTACCTTAGGTTAAATGAAATTGTACAAATGACCACCCAGGTCTGCAAAGGTTAGGGCTGTGTAAGTACATCCAATTCCAGAGTCTGCTTCACTACCATAGTAAACTGATGACCTGTTTCTCAGGCCTGTGTGTGATTTTTTATAAGGAGGTTGGGGGAGGGGACAACCTGGTGACAGACAGTGGATACTGAATTCAACCTTTTATTTTCCTAAGTGTAAATACCTTTTTTTGATGATTATAAAATTTTTTTTCAGAAAGTAAAATTTCCTCAATAGTGTTACATTTCTTTTAAAAATAAATTTTTCTTTTTACAACAGAAGACTCTATACATCATGTACTTAACTATTCTCTAATATGCTCTTGTTGACTAAAAATTCCCAGTCAATGTAGCGCCGTCTGGATATTAACTTTATTCTTTCAAGGCTGTATAGAAGTCTGATGTAAGGATGTACCATAATTACACCAGGGTACCACAATGTACATTATTGTTGGGATTTTGGCTGCGGTTTTAACTTTTGGGGGATTACCTAATTGGTTGTGAGCAGTAGTTACCTTGTATAAAATTCTAAGGTGGTGGTTTTACATGACCTACATTACCTTAACTATTATACCTTTATAGCACATATACCTATATGTGCATATAAATGAGGCTAATCTGGGTAATAGTACAGCAGAACAAATGTTTTGCCAGTTCTTAAAGTGGAAAACATGTGTTTATTAACATTCAAACTCCCTTCATACAAGGCCATATAAAAACTCTTAGCATTTTGATTATACATAAGTATATTTTCTACATAGTTACAGTGATGTATAATATAATTTAACTCTTCATAATACATTGTTTAAATACATCATTAGTTCTGTTAAACATAAGCAATTATTTTCAAATCCAATACTTGAACAATTTCCTCTGTACATAGTTTAGCAGGGCTAATTAGCATAAGATGCTCTTTGTTAAGAGGTATATGATCTGAGTATTAACAGTTGCTGAAGTTTGGTATTTTTATACAGCATTTTCTTTTTGCTTTGATCATAACACAAAACCCTTAAGGATACTGAAATTCAGTAAGTTAAGTCCAGAGACATGTTAATTTAGCTGATGAATCAAATTCATACATAACACTATATAGTATTTAAAACTTTGAGGGGAAAAAAAAAACCCTATGAAATCTGCACTAGTACAGACCATTCCTATAAGGATAAGACTACTTGGGAATAGAAAGGAAAAAGACAGCTCTGAGTTTCTTTGTGGTGCCGATAGAAGGAAAAATGCTAAATTGTCACCTCTCATGAGTAATGGCAATTTAGGGGACAAATATATTCCAGAACAAATATATTCCAACTCAACAACTCTAGGTAAACTTTATGCAAATGGGAGTTGGCTTAGCTCATGCTAGGTGGCCACAGCACTGACCTTGTGTGTAAAACACGAAACATTTGCATACTGTGATCTTGGTCTTAACTGCAAGCTATACCGAGGAATTTAAAAAAATATTTTGGCTATATTTCATTCCAAAAGAAGAGCTGATTTGATGCTTGAGTTACAGCACCAGCCTATTACTAGTTATCAGTGAAATGAAGTACACTCCTGCAGATAAATGCCAGATCAAAAACACCTGTTTCAGTAATCTAAACTGTAGAATACTAAAAAATAAGTTATCTCTACAGGAATCTCTGAAGGGAGCAAAAAAATCAAATTATATACCTAAATAAACATTTTTTAGGAAATAACCCAATCACCCTCTGAAGGTCAAACAGTATTTGCTATGTTGTAATCCCGTTCACCATTAGGCTGCAGCTGGACTACAACACTATGTGCACTAACTTCGTTTTCTGCATCACTACTGTCGGTATCTTCATTGTCATCATCTTCATAGTCTGAAGATTCTGTCATGTTCTGATGTGAGCGGGATTCCGACAAAGCCCCAAATGACTGGGTGCTGACAGAAGCCAAAGGTCTAAGTAAAGGGGTATGTTCTGACACTTCATTTTCTTCTTGACTACTGTCTGTGTCAGAGTCTGAATCGCCTTGAGAAGGAACAACTTTTTGCTTGCAGACGGGACAGGTTTTTTTGGTTTTAGTTAGCCAGGGGTCTACACACTTGCAGTGGTAAGCTGTTGAAGCAAAATACACATCTTTTAGATAATATACTGTGGTTGAGAACATTACATTTTTAGTTTCTTACCATGTTTTTTATTCAAGTTCTTCTAATCCATATGTATCATGTAGGGACAAAAAAATTTGTAAATTTTTATAAATATACCTCCATCCTTTAATGACACCACTAATTACTACAAGACCTGGCTCATAGTATGCTAAATGACTATTTTGTCTCCTCTAATATTGAGCCTACATATAAATTACACATAAATCCAAAGCAGTGTGTAATTATTCATACCATGGGAACAAGGAAGAATTCTGAGCTTGTCTCCGTCTTCATATTCATCCAAACAAATGGCACATACATCATACTCATCTCCTGTGACAGACAGTAGTAAATAAAATTAATTAAAAGATGAAGAGAAGTATCTTTAATCTTCCAACTCTTCAAGTTAGGTCTTCCTCAGTCGATTATTTTAAATGTCTTTTGATTGATCTATCTGTAAATGATACCTTTTTCTTGTTTTCTGTCAGATGAGGGAGCTGCGTTTAAGTTCAGAAACCTGAAGTTTTAATTTAAATAATTAACCTTTTACCTAAAATAAATTAAAAATGAATGTCAAATTTGTTTATTGTTTATCTTGATTAACTTTGCAAACGTTTTTTATTAACCACTGCAGTGGTGTTTTTTTTTTTTAAGATTTTATTTATTTATTTGACAGAGAGACAGCGAGAGCAGGAACACAAGCAGGGGGTAGTGGGAGAGGGAGAAGCAGGCTTCCCGCTGAGCAGGGAGCCCGATGCGGGGCTCGATCCCAGGACCCTGGGATCATGACCTGAGCCGAAGGCAGACGCTTAACGACTGAGCCACCCAGGTACCCCTGCAGTAATGTTTTATATGACTATTCAAATGCTAGTTTTGAAATATTTTATACCAAAGACAACAAAATTTCACTGTTTAGATTTCTTAAAGTCTTGGTCATTTTTAAAGTAAAAACGGAAACATTAGAACATACTCAAATGTTTTTTTTTAATGTTAGTGGAGAAACATTTGGAATGAGACCTACTAGGCTTCAAATCTCCATTTCAACATTTACTAGCTCTGTGGTGCTTAGCAAGTTACTTAGCCTTTGCCATCCAGTTCTTGTATCCGTAAGAAGATTCTATCTACCTCACAGGTTTGTGACTGAACAACGGGCCAAGCATTTAAGATGGTCACTAAGTGGTGTTTATTAATACTGCCTTTTTAATTTGTTGTTGAACTTACCACCTTTATAAATCATGAAGGTTTAGTCATAGCTCTTTTTGGAATTCAAGTGTAGTTAATTTTAAAGGAAGTGGCAGTCTTAGAGCAGCTTAAGTTGAGGCAGTAATGGCAGTGACCACTGTGACTGCTTGTGTTTTCCAATAAATATGTATTAGGTAAAAACTTAAAAATCTCAGGGAACAAAAGACAATTCATTGCCTATCCCACACACAGGTTAACAACCTTGGAAGACAGGTCAGAAATAAAGCCATTGTCTGGCTAGTCTGGATGAACATGATCCATAAAGGAGGGAATGATAGTTCTATCCAAACAATCCCTTTAATATCCTTTAGTCATTTAAAATAGCACATTCAGGAGGAGTCCTAAAAAGAAAGCTTTCATGAAAATTACTATTTTTTGTTCAGTGTTTTGAATTTGGTTATTATAGTATTGAGTATCAAATATATTCTATAACAAATACAAACTGCTATGTTAGAACCTGTGTGTGGAGTTTGGTGAGACTGATCATATGTATCAAACTATTCAAGACTAAAGGATTCCAATATATCTAATTATCTACAATTATACAGTTGATCCACTTACATTGACTTTGAGGACAGTTTTAATAAACAATTCAGTCGTCACTGATTTCTCCTACAAATCAAACTTTTAAATTTTAGGACTTTGTGAAAATGCCCATTAAACACAGATACAGAAACCAACAGAGGAGGTAATCTGGTGGATAAAGGCCCCAGCTGTCTTCAAAGGGACAGTTCTGAGGCACATAGTTCCTCAGAGGAAGTCAGTACCAGCTGTCCACAGTAACCAGCTCAGTAAGATACACTTCATTTTTCATTCTCCCCCTCTCTCCCCACTCCCTCACTCTGTTTCCTGAGATTATTTCCCAAAGAAATCACCTGCATCTCCGTCCTTGGTATTGTTCTCGGAAATTCAAACTAAGACAAGTTTTAAGCATTGGATTTTTAGTAATAATTTTATACTGCTTTCCTGTTGGAATTTGTTAGATCTTCAGCAAATAGTATGATATTCTACTTGTATTTTACTACCAATTGTGAGTCCTCAGATACATCATTTTTAAAAATAAACAAAGGCAAAACGTGCATAACACATTGCATAAAATCTAAAGGAAATTCAGTTACCGAGAA